TGTACATCCAAGTTGATTATACATGCAGTGCACATACAGTTGCTGAACTGTTGCTTCTGTCCAAATAATAATTTTCTGTCACTTATAATATAAAACACACTACAGAATCATCAGCTCCGTAGGTTATGACAGGTTCATCTGACACTTGAATCCAAATGAACTATCATTTAAACTCTACCAGCTGTTAGTTGAGCTGCAAGAACTCTAATATAAGTAGTATATGTGTTGCTGTACATGCAACAGCTCCTTATTATATCCGTGAGCTCACGAGCTTCCATCGGTCCCGGAGGAGCCTCGGATCCGTCCTCATCCTTCAGACACAGTCACGATTAAAGTTCAAGGGTGTTTGTGCTTCTCCGTCGCTGCTTCAAGGCTGTGGAACAACTTGTGCAGTATTAATAACATATTCAGAATGCAAGACTCATTTATTCTGGACTCGATGTTCATTAGGAAGCTCATTTCTAGCTTTAAGTTTGAAAAAGCAGGAATATGTGGAACTAGACTACTGTTCAAAAGTTTGGGCTCAGTGAGAATATTTTAAAGAAATAAAGCGTTTTATTGAGCAAGAATCCATTCAATTGATCAAAAGTGTCAATAAATGCATTTATAATGCTATAAAGATTGCATTTCCTACAAATGTTGTTCTTTTGAACTTTCTGTTCATCAAACAATCCTGAAAAAAGTATCAAAAATATGAAGCCGCAAATGAACTGTTTTCAACATTGATAATACTCATAAATGTTTCTTGAGCATCAAATCATCATATTAGAGTGATTTCTGAAGGATCATGTGACACTGAAGACTGGAGTAATGATGCTGAAAATTCAGCTTTAATCACAGGAATAAATTTGACTATATTCACATAGAAAACATCTGTTTTAAATTGTAATAATATCTCATAATATTAGTGAATTTATTATTTTTTATCAAATAAATGCAGACTTCTTTCGAAACTTCTTTTCAAACCCTAAACGTATGACTGAAAAGCTCTTTTCATAATTTCCTCTGACAAAAATATCAAATCCATGATCATCATAGTTTCCACCAATATTGTTAATTTGTTACCGGCGTTAAAAAAAAAACAGACCGATTTATAACTTTAGAACTATAAAAGTATGATGATTTTACAACTGCAGAAACTCAGTGTTTTGACAGACTCTTTGGTTAGCGTGGTCATTTTTTGAGAGTTTCTAATAATAATAATAATAAATCCAGCTGTTTTATGAGGATCAGAATGAGTCTGCGACCTCAGGGACATGCGATCTCTCTCGGTCCTCCTCCAGGAACGCCTGAATCCTGCACTCTTCCTCCTGCTTTAGATGCTTTGGAGAGATCATGACCTGAGATGTTTTATAGCCCTTGTAAGGGGTTTTGAGTTGGCAGAAGTCAGCGTGAGCATTGTGATCCTGCCGTAGACCGTGAGTCACTCCTTCTGAACGCCACATGAGTTCATATTACATGAGCGTGTCAGATATGATAGTAATGTCTGATTGCTGATGTCTTCAGCCAAACACATCCGACCTCTAGGACTTTCACTGTAAAAAGAGCTGAATGTATTTCACAATACCAGTATGAGACTGAGATATTATCTTAAATGAAGCTTGTACAAGTTTAACCCCTGAAGACACATTTTTGGGGCACCTGACTCTCATGTATTTCTTTTTGTTTATCATTTTAAAGAGGAGAACTTTATAAGAGCTCATATTATGCTTGATGTTGTTTTTGGGCTCTACTAGAACAGGTTTTCCTGCTTGAATGTTGATTATTTTCCTCATATTCTCCATTGTTGCGGCTCCTCTCTTCCCAGTCTGTCAGTAACGCTCTGTTTACTTCCTGTCTCTATGAAGCCCCTCCTTCTGAAAAGCACACTGTGCTCTGATTGGTCGGCTGGAGCAGTGTGTTGTGATTGGTCAAGCACTTCGAGTGTGTTTGGGAAGCCATACAGGCAAATCCAAATCCAATAGTTTCTTTAGAAAGTGTAACTTGGATGTTTTAAACATACAAATTTAATTTTGTCTACTACATCTAACATAACAAGTTTTAGCCATTTAAATTTCTGATAGATAAAAAAATACAGAAAAAAAGACCAGTCCATGTCAACATGAAATCAAAATCACCCTATTTGCTTTCTTAATACATTATTTTCCAGGTTTTATTGCGATTAGTGTTTCAAAACGGAAACCCAGATCATTTTGATTATCTTCTTTTCAAATAATATACCAGAAAAATGGAGATAAAATAGAGTTTCAGTCTGGATTGCTACATTTATTTATGTGAAGAAGTGAGATGAAATGTCAAAGTCATAAACATCTCCTACTGAAACAGGGAAAACTAAATTAATTCCAGCAGCTCAGAGTCACATTTCATCATATTCCACTTATTATTATGGCATAAAAATGCTGGCATCAAGAACATATTGGCCAATAGTTTAAAACCGCTGATCATACAGTGCATTAGTTCACACTGTTAAAGGAACAGTTCATGCATTGTCAACTTTTACTTTTAGTTTTAATAGAAAAGCCTCCGCAAACTTTTCTTTTGTGCTCCAGAAAAATAGTATTATTGTTCTGAAACAATTTAAATGATGACAGGACCTTCATCTTTCCCTTTAAAAGTCTGTAATTTAGTAATACAATATACAAATATTTAAAAAATATCTTAAATAAATAAAAGACACTGTAATGGGCAGTGATATTATAATATCATTGAGATAATATACTAGTTTTATTAATATTTTGAATTAGTCTTCTGCTGTCATTACTCATTTTCATTTTATAAACCTAAAGTTTAAATTAGTAGAGTTTGATTATCAATGAACTAACAAAAACATATATTCAATTCATAGAGATGACACATAAAAAAAAAACAGATTTCATGCAATATGTTAAACTTCACAGCTCATAGTCATGCATAAATTACCTTTTCCTAAATAAGAGGTCAAAAGTGATATTCTAGGTGACCCTGGTGAGGAATGATTGGTCATCGCTGATTGACAGCTGCCCTCTAGCGGTGAGATCTGGAGTAACACACTCTTCAACGACACGTGACTCTCAAAACCTCAGGCATCATAGAAGAGGAGTGCTTTATCTTGGCAACAGGGGGCGCTATAGTACGTAAAGAAAATCTGAAGTAGTATTTGACTTATTGGGTGCGTATTTGCTTATAATGTTTGAATCTGAATGATTATCATATTCATATCCCACGATGATCCTTCAAGGCACATGATCTGCAGCTTCAGGAAACACAGACAGACACAATGATGCACTAACAGAGACTTTTTTTAAAAACGTTTTTTTATATAAGATCACATTAAAACAACATTCATCTTGCCTAGTTTTGCATAGACTGTCTCTCAGTTGTGGTATCATTTTCAGCATATAGCCAACAATTTTCCCAGTCATTATTAGTTTTTGCAAAAGTTAATGTACCGGAATGTGAACACTGTGTTCTTAAAGCTGTTATGATTATGTTTTATCAATGAAATATGACACTGCGGGTTACAGAGACGTTTGATTTAAAGGATTCTCTGCTGGTGAGACCGATGAAACCCAGTGAACCTGTTTTACTAGTGAAGGACCTCTTGTTAAAATAAACACATACTGTAAGAAAAAAGAAAAGATTGTTCAAAGTTGTACGTTAGAGGATGTTTATTGTCTTGTATACTTTAAAATTTCATGTTTATTATAGCGTGTTACTTAGTGTTCCTGAGTAATTCATTGTGAGGTTTACTAGCAATTTCTGAGTCATTTCCCCCCCAATTTCATATTGCATTTTGTGCTGCGTTTTGAATGGATTTCACTGCATTAGATAGAAAGATATAAATGCAAATGATACAAAATATAAGAAATGTCATTTATTGTAAATAAAAATAGCACAAACACTCTTAAAAATGTTCTATATTGTTCTTGAATCACTTTTATAGAACTCTTTATGGTTCTATATAATGAGAAAGGTCTTAATATTTTTATGTGTAATGGGTTATTTCAGTTTTTCTAGTGATAAAGTGTTTGCGAGCTGTTTAATTCATAAAATTAAAAATGTATTAAAACAAAATTAATTAATTGAAACTATATCCCATGATGGGAATCCCTAAAAGGTTCTTATTACCACAATGTTGTGGTAATATTCAGCTTTTATCATATAATTGACAGCTGCATAAACCGAAGGAGGACCGAAGATCACAGAGAATAACAATGATATTATAAAGATGGTCTCCTTCTTCTCAGAGATTAAAGACCCGAGTAAAAAAGACCATCATGCTAAATGAGAATATTATAATCAGCAAAACAAACAATAAATTAAAGCCCTTCACAAATATTTATACTTCAATATTGCTTTAGTTTTGACCCCATTATATAGGCCAATCATTTCATATTATACACCAACGATTCCTTGCCAACAAATCACAAATGAATGCTAACTGGATCAACTGAAATAGCATTACTTTATGCTTTAACAAAAGTGAAATAAAGAAAATAAACTGATGAAATCAGATCAAATTATGTCTGAAGTTTGTTTTTCTGCTTAGTAATAAAGAATTCAACCGATTGCATAAAATTCAGATATAAACAATACAATCAGATATATAATATATAAGTCAATAATTCATTAGTCTACTACTTCATATTAAGTCATACATATAAAAGACATCTATGTAGTCTAATGGAAATATATATAAAGCCATCCTTTTTTTAAATATTTAGGCCCTATCACAAAAAAAAGTGAGACGAGAGAAAGTGTATCAAGAAGCTTTTGCATAACTAGCGTTTAGCATCACAACATTTGAATCGTCTGGCTAAACACAAAGACTAAAGCAGTTGTTTACGTTAGGCTTGTGATTGACAGCTAGTTGAATGTAAATCACACGCATTTGATTTGCTAATAGAGCCCCACTTTGAGAATGTTGGCCACGCCCCCCGCTCACTTTCACCCAATTGCTGAAGAGAACGAAAAAACACGCATTGTGTGTATAAATGCCGTGAGCAGCAGCAGGTTCACAGTTAAATAACACGAGGACGATACGTTGGCTCTTTACATTGGGATCATCAACTGAACTTTATTTATATATACTGTACTGCAAAATTGAAATTATTTATTTGTTCTGTACTATGGGAAAAGAAAGTTTATGGCTGCTGGTAATCGGATTTTCTCTTATTGCAAGCGAACCAATTTTCAACTCTACTGAAGAAGTATTTACTAGTAAGTTTTTCACTTTCAAAATAACGTAGATACTAATCAGTTTACATGTGTATTGTACATTTGTGCAGAAAATCAGATTCACAAACACACACACACACACGCACGCACACAGACAGACACGCGCTCACACGCACACACATACACGCACACAGACAGAGACACACACACACACACACACACTCTCTCTCTCTCTCTCTCTCTCTCTCTCACACACACACACACACACACACACTCTCTTCTGTTTTTGCAATAAGAATGTGTTGCAAGTAACTGCAATTAGATAAACCTTAATCTTAAACATTTGGAACAGGTGCATGTATACTGTATGTGAAAGTGATTAAGGCACTGGTCCAGGATCAGTGTGGTTCTGCTCTACTTAATCTGGTTATTGCATATACCCTGATCCTGGATCAGCAAGTTCAGCTTTATTTGATTTCCACAATGCACATTGTTCCTAAGCAGCTGTATAGAGAATAGTGGCTTACAAGCCCCAGTAATCACAGCAAAGCCAAAAGTTGTGAGGAAAAAAGAAACCGTGAAAAAAAAACAAATACTTTGGAGAGACCCATTCTCCTCTGCCTTTCACATATAATGCTACAATAAAAGCCAAAATAACCTACAAAACATTTATAATCCAAGGCACATGAGATGATGAATGTATGATGTTAGTTTCAGGGAACTCCACTGAGCAGACAGTGGACTACAGTGACATCGAGTCCAAGTTCTCCATCAGGAGTGCAGAATTCCCCGACGAGGATCTTTGCTATCTTGTCCCAGGAGAACGGGACTCTGTTTCGGACTGCAACTTCAAAAATGACTCCCAAACCTTCCTTATTATCCACGGATGGTCGGTGAGTCGCTGATGCTTTTTTGTCAGACAGAAAACACATGCAGATGCTGGCATAATTTAAGACTGAAATGTCCTTTTTACTTCTTTTTTCCCCTATGAACCCTATGAATAATCACACACACACACACACACACACACTGTTGAATGTAGGTCGCAGGTCTGTTTGAGAGCTGGGTCTATAAGCTTGTGACGGCTCTGTTTGATCGTGAACCCAGTGCTAATGTCGTTGTTGTGGACTGGCTGGATCGGGCCAACGAACACTACCCCAGATCAGCAGAGAACACGGGCCTGGTGGGCGCAGACGTGGCCAAGTTCATCGACTGGCTGGAGGTATGCAGAGAAACACGTGCTCAGGATTGTTGCTGTAGCATTTCTGTACTGACAGTCAGCTGAATGTTACCTCACTGAGCAAATCTTACAAAAACTTAAATGAGTCAGATCTATCTATCTATCTATCTATCTATCTATCTATCTATCTATCTATCTATCTATCTATCTATCTATCTATCTATCTATCTATCTATCTATCTATCTATCTATCTATCTATCTGTCTGTCTGTCTGTCTGTCTGTCTGTCTGTCTATCTGTCTGTCTATCTGTCTGTCTGTCTGTCTGTCTGTCTGTCTGTCTGTCTGTCTGTCTGTCTATCTATCTGTCTGTCTGTCTGTCTATCTATCTGTCTGTCTATTTATCTGTCTGTCTGTCTGTCTATTTATCTGTCTGTCTGTCTGTCTGTCTATTTATCTGTCTGTCTGTCTGTCTGTCTATTTATCTGTCTGTCTGTCTGTCTGTCTGTCTGTCTGTCTGTCTGTCTGTCTGTCTGTCTATCTATCTATCTATCTATCTATCTATCTATCTATCTATCTATCTATCTATCTATCTATCTATCTATCTATCTGTCTGTCTGTCTGTCTGTCTGTCTGTCTGTCTGTCTGTCTGTCTGTCTGTCTGTCTGTCTGTCTGTCTGTCTGTCTGTCTATTTATCTGTCTGTCTATTTATCTGTCTGTCTGTCTGTCTATTTATCTGTCTGTCTGTCTGTCTATCTATCTATCTATCTGTCTGTCTATCTATCTGTCTGTCTGTCTATCTATCTGTCTGTCTATTTATCTGTCTGTCTGTCTATTTATCTGTCTGTCTGTCTGTCTGTCTATTTATCTGTCTGTCTGTCTGTCTGCCTATCTGCCTGTCTGTCTATCTATCTGTATATCTGTCTGTCTATCTTTCTTTCTGTCTGTCTGTCTGTCTGTCTGTCTGTCTGTCTGTCTGTCTGTCTGTCTGTCTGTCTGTCTGTCTGTCTGTCTGTCTGTCTGTCTGTCTGTCTGTCTGTCTGTCTATCTATCTATCTATCTATCTATCTATCTATCTATCTATCTATCTATCTATCTATCTATCTATCTATCTATCTATCTATCTATCTATCTATCTATCTATCTATCTATCTGTCTATCTTTCTGTCTGTCTATCCATCTATCCATCTATCCATCTCTATTACAAATTTGAAATAAATAAAAATTAAGAATTAACTAGAACAAAAACTAAAACAGAAATAAAAAAAGAAATAAAATGCCGAAAGCATAAAATAGCAGAATTAGTAAAAATTAGACCAAAATTAAAACTAAAATATTAAAATTAAAATACAAAAATAAAAGCTTATTCAAAATATTAATAAAAACTCTACATTTATAAAATGCATAAATAATACTAAAATAACTGATCCCCCAAATTATCTTTACAATGCAGAAAATATTGATAATCCTAAAAGGCTTTTTTCTTTTTCTCTTTTTTTTTTAATGGCATATTGCAGTGTTTATTAAAATCGATTTCACTCGTCACAACAGTGAAACAAAGACGATTGGAACTTCCGCTTCATGTCGACTTTAAGCAAACTATAATTTCTCATTTTATGACCCAGACATGTTGTCTACAGGCTTCATGAGATTAAGTGTGTGTGTGTGTGTGTGTGTGTGTGTGTAAAGGAGCTGGACTACCCGCTGGAGAAAGTGCATCTTCTAGGCTACAGTCTCGGTGCACATGTGGCAGGAGTCGCAGGAAACCTCACCAACAACAAAGTCAACAGAATTACAGGTATGAAGCCCTTCATTTAATAGTGTGTATTACACGGCTCTGTGGAATACTTGATTCTGATTGGTCAATCGCGCCATCCAGCGGTATGTTATTTCCCTGATAACATCCACTGAAAACAGAAACACAGGCTCATCCGGGTCACTGAAGTCAGCACTATATGCTTGTCATGATCCGTGCTGTGTTCCAGTCCACTTTTAGACACTCACTTGCGAACTTACGCCATTTTGAAGTGCGTCACTTCGTGAAGTGGACGAGGGAAGTTTATATGGACAGACGCTCGTTCTCTCGATTTTGACCGAGGGAGCGAGTCTACTTCATATGTACACTTCAGGCAGCAACATATACCACAATGCAACACGATTGTGACGTCACCGCAGATCTCGTCTAATCACCACCACCACAAACAACTCTATGATATATTAATTATGATTTTTTAAAATTTAAAACAACCAAGCGTGCCGCACAAGCCCTGAGAAGTGAAGCCAAAACGTCTCGATCGCCCCCCCGGTGGCCGGTCCTAGTATAGGTCATAAACCCCGCCTCCCCGTGTTACTCAACAGCACGTGAGACCAACTAAACAATTAAATTACACTTCAAATATCGTTTTTCCAAAGATGGTTTCTGTCATTTGCTGTCGTTTTTATCACGCTGATATGTTCAAGTGTCTGGTTTTAAAATAAGTTTGTTTTTAGTTAGTTACGTGATGCTATAAAAACGATGGTGTAACGTCATGATTGACAGCTGTGATTGAAAAAGTCCCGAAAAAAAAGTCCATTGGTGCTGACATAGGCCACTTAAAAAAAGTGCAGGGAGAGTGCATAGAGAGCCTAAGCCCCTCCCCTCCGCTTCCGGCTCATGGGACCTTATTTCGGAAAAAATCTGTATGGTAGTCAATGGCGAGAGACAACTTATCTTTTCATTCCGTCTGAACTGTGCCCTGAATTACACATATGATGTTTGTCAATTTAATAGATAATTCTGAAAGTCAAGAAAGTCGCAGTTTGTCATGAAACAGAAGAGTAACATTTAGTTTTATGTGAAAATCGCTCAATGAACTACATCTCCCGGGAAGCGAAACAACGAGCGAGATCCGCTGCTCGTGTGTGTGCAGTCTGGTACAAAACACTCAGGCGTGACGGCGTAACGTTACGATTATAACGGAAGACTATAGAAACACTGACAGACGTTAGCTTCAGTAAAGTTAGCTTCACTCATTGAGAGAAAATGTGCCTTTGGGGTTTGTAGTCTTTGTAATTACGTATTTTCACAGTCTTATACCTCAACAGTTTCACATCAAACTGCGACTTTCTTGACTTTAAAATGTATCTTTTAAATTGACAAACATCATATGTGTAATTCAGGGCACAATTCAAACGAGATCAAAATATTTGTTGTCTCTCGCCATTGACTACCATACAATATTTTTCCGAAATAAGGTCCCATGGTGGTCGACCGGAAGGGGAGGGGTGTATACCTGTATACTCATATGTATACTCTGTCTGTCTCTAGCCTATCAGTCAATGTGTTGTGTAAATTTAAATGTAAGCCTAAATAGCCTATAACTAATCAAATCGCACTATGTCATTATATCACCAAAATCCGCTATCTCAAAATCAAACTCCTCTCACAAAAACCCACGAGGTCAATATGCGTTGATTTCACTTTTATACAGATGTGCGATTGTGTGGTCTGTTCTTCCCGACCGTCAATCAAACGCTGATTCGGCGGATCACACCTGATGAAACACTTAGTGAAACATTTTGAGGCTTCGTTTGGCCATAGACACGTGACATGGGTGTTTTGAATCACGCTTCGGATCAGTGTTTCGAAACATCTGCGCTTTGGGATCTCGCAAAGCTTCGGAACGACTGTTTCGTGTCAGCCATCCCTACCATCCAGTATCGTGGACTCGCTCTCTCGTTTCATTCAAATGCAGCTTTGTGACTATTGTTTTGTACACTGTTAGATTGTAAGATATGAACCGGTATGATTTTAAAACTGAAATCAATATCTCATAAAAACTTAAAACCTGTCGAGGTTTATTCTGAGATAACAACCGGCTGGATGTACATTATCCCTTACATCTGCTCTTTTTCTGTCCCATGAGGAACTTTATCAGATGTTTGTTAGTCATCCCCTATGATTCCTTCATAATATTGGACAGGAATGAGCCTAAAGTGTAGAGTTTGCTGCTGTTTTCTCATGGTTTTGCAGGTCTCGACCCAGCGGGCCCCAGCTTTGAGAATGCAGAGAGTCTGAGGCGTCTGTCACCGGATGACGCCTCGTTTGTGGACGTCCTGCACACAAACACCAGAGGCTCACCGGACCTCAGCATCGGCATCCAGAGACCCGTGGGTCACGTGGACATCTACCCCAACGGTGGCACTTTCCAGCCCGGCTGCACCATCCAGAACACCATGAAGCTCATCGCCACCTACGGCATATACAGTATGCTCTGTTCACTTAGTGTCATTTCTATACTATTCAACATCTGAATCAAAAAAAGTTCATCAAAGTTGTCCTGAGACAAGAACTTGTTTTAGTTTAGGTTTTAGTAATTTGTCATTTTTATTAGTTTTTTTTTTTTTAAAGGTGCTCTATGTAACTTTTCTACTAAAATGAATCCTTTTTTTATTGCCTGTGTGTGAAGGGGTTGTAATCACACATTAAAATGATCCACTTGTCGAGTTTTGCTATTACGTCTGAAGGCCAGTATTCCTATTTCTATGTGAAGTCTCCGGGTCGGATTTACCGCGAAATCCAACGGATGTGACGTGCATGCGCGCTCCCGAGCCTCTCTCCTTATATACAGTCTATTGTAGACCAGTGGTTCTCAACCTTTTTTGGGCCAGCGCCCCCTATCCAATATCCAGGTCCCCGACCGCCCCCCACCCCCAAACTAATGAGCGAGCAGGAACGAGTAACAGATGAAATAAGTACAAAATTGTCATTTATTAATACAATCGAACTATACTCCACAGCGATTAATCCAAAAAACAAGCTATAAACTGCATTGAATAGCAATAGCAGTGTTTCTCACAGGATTTTTGGTAAATCTGTGGTGGGTGAACCTCGGGCCTTCTAGGGGGGTTCGGGGGGCAAGCCCCCCGTAAGAAAAATGTGTGCATTTTAATGTTAAATGCATCAATCTGGTGCACTTTGAGAGTTCAAAATTAAAAGCTCCAACCCATATTCAGTGTGCAAATTAAACAAAGAAAAATTCAAACCTCTTTTAGTTGTGTTTGTCTACATTACACTACTACATAATAATAGTTATATTATATTAATCCCATGACATAAATAGCCATATATTATAAAACAAATGCACTGAAAAATAAAGGACAGTCATTAAAGCGGTAATGTTTGCACGTAGGTTTTATTAGCATTTAGGAGAGTATTGCAAGAAGCTGCTTACATTAACCTTACTTAAAAATAAATATACAATCATGATTTTTCATGAAAAATTATGTTAAAATTGTAGGCCTAAAATACCTTGGTATCAGGTATAATTAATACAATTACAATTAATTTGGTTTGTCGTGATTAATTTGTTTTCATAATCAGTAAAAAGAAAAATCTTCTAACAAGAATAAACACACGAACAATTCAATTATTATTGTATTATTAATTGTTTTTATATCTTGAAACTAACGTTACCCAAGCAGCGTTTCGCTCTCAGATGTGATGGCGGAATGAATAGCCTACATTACCAAAATGTGATTGCAGAATATATTTAAATATTAATATAATATAAAAATTATCCATCAAATTGTCATTTTCAAATTGAGTTAACAATAATGCCTGACCAGTAAATTACTTGGTGAACAAAGAAAACATTTTGGCATTAGGCATTGGAATTAGTTAATGCCTAAAAAATTTAAAGTTTTACCTTATAAATAGAATTTAGTTTAATTTTGAAATTCGTCGCCGGAGTAAATGGGAACATGATTTATTGAAAATATTTGAAAAAATAGAAGTGTTTCAATACTTAAGTCAATACTTTTTAATGGCATGTCAACTTTCCATTCCTCCGCTGCGTGACTCTAGCCAGCGCTGGATTGTTGTCAGCGCGAAACACATGTTTGAGCGCGTGAATGCAGATTCTAGCCAGCGCTGGATTCTAGTCAGAGCGCTGGTCTATAACTGGAAAAATAATATAGTCGTTGCAAAAGTAACGATACATAGCTTAGGCTACATGTACATTAAACTGGAAGAAGAATCACAACAAGCGTGTCGGTGAGAACACTCATTTAAACAGCATTCACACCCGAACTTGACTGCACATTATATTTTTGACATTATTGATACTGCTTTCAATCGTAATGCAATAGAAATGAACACAAAAAACCTGCTAGTATACTGACGGTGGACTTGCGGTCAGGAGTAGGCTAGAACGGCCGCGGACGAATGATTTTCTTTTTTTTATTTGAGCGCTGCTAACGTTTTCTTTCACGCGCACCATAGACGTGCGCGCACACACAATATGACATCACAATCTACGCATATGTTTTACAACATAATTTAACATATATGGTCCTAACACTTTTTTAATAGCCCACTTAAAGTGTTTATTACAAATAAATTACTAAATGCTTAAAATGAATCACAGTAAATGAACACAAATTTCCGTTACTCGTGAACGCCCCCCATTAACACCTGAACGCCCCCCTTTCAAGACTCTTGCGTCTAACGCCCCCCGTTGTTCTCTGAACGCCCCCTGGGGGGCGGTACCGCCCCCGTTGAGAACCACTATTGTAGACGGTCAGGGAGTTACGTCCTGTTAAAGGCGCACGTTTTTCGGCTTATATCTCAGTCAATCTTTGATCAATATTCCCAAGACTCTAATCGTTCGTAGTGCTGGACGGGGCCTTTCGAACGAGCCCACCCCCGAGGTCCAACTCGCCCGGCTCCCCGAGTTATAGCCGTTCGAAATCGGGGGTCCCAGCGAACGGCGATCCGATAGGGGGCATCCCCGAGGCCCGCCACTCTAGCGTTCGGGCAAGAGTTCCCCTGGGACCTCCTCCCCCGAATTTGAGCTCTCTGGGTCTTTGCGTTCCAGAGATACGAGCGATTTTCTTCTGAGATCGTGACGTCACCGGCGTCCGCAATTTTGCAGCGCGCCCGATGGTTTTCTGCTAATATCTCCGCGAAAATACCACCAAAAACTATGGAACTTATATGGTTCTTTTCAGCTCGACTAGATGGTCCCAACGAGCTCGGTGCTCGCCGAATCCGTCTAGTATTCGCCGAGATGTTTGCGTAATAGACGGTATTGTCTATGAGTTCGAGCACGAGCGCTCTTGTAAAATTTGGTTGCAATCTGAAACATCACCACTAGAGGCCGCTAAAAGTTACATAGAGCACCTTTAAATTTAGCTTCAATTTATTTATTTCCATTTTAGTCATTTGAATTTTTCATTTAATATTTATGTTTTATTCCAGCTTTGTTTAAATTTCTGAAAATAATTTAACAGTTTTAGTTAACAATAACAACACTGTTAGTAAAATATGAACATTATTATTATCAGTTTTATTTGTGTCATTTATATTTTTTTTATATTTCTGTAATTTAATATTTTACACTGTTAGTAAAATGCTAACTCTAATCTGTGGTTTTGTCATTTTAATTAGTTCTTTCTATTTCTATTAAGCTTTGGTTTATTTATTTCAGTTCTAGTAATTTAGTAATTATTTTTTTCAGTTAACATAATTTTTTATCTCAACTTATTTCAGGCAACTTTTTCAATCTAATATTTATATTTTATTTTATTTCAGCTGTGTTTCAGTTACCGAATATGGTTTTTAATAGTTTTAGTTGACAAAAACAGCACTGTTATTAAAATGCTATTAAAATTAATTTTGTGCTTTTGTCATTTTATAATTTTTTTATATTTCTTTTTAGCCAAAATTTCTTTCTAATTTTCTAATAAATTAAAATTAAAATTTCATAACCTAAAATTATTTTTTATGGTTTTAGTTACAAATAACAACACTGTTAGTAAAATGCTTTCTCCATTTAAAATAAATTCCTATGTACAGTGAACATTAAGCCGTTAGGTACCATCAGCTTGTTTTTCCTCTAAACATTTGACCTCTCCCCTTCCCTTTGACCTTTGTCAGACATGGACCAGATAGTCAAATGTTCCCACGAGCGCTCTATTCACCTGTTCATCGACTCGCTGGTGAACCGGGCGCACCAGAGCTGGGCGTTTCGCTGCAGCTCCAGAGACTCCTTCAACAAGGGACTGTGTCTGAGCTGCCGCAAGAACCGCTGCAACAAACTCGGGTACAACGTCAACAAGATCCGCAGCAGCAGGAGCGCAAAGATGTACCTCAAAACCCGGGACATGATGCCGTATAAGGGTGAGCAACCATAGCTATTACAAATCTACTGGCCAAAAGTGATGGAAAATTGACACGTTATTCAAATTACTTTTTTATTATTATTTATTTAAAAAAAATTTAAAAGATTTTGTAAGCATATTATGGAAGCTTGTTTCCGCCACAGAGTGAAAAATAAAAAAGGTAATTGCGACTTATCTCACAATCCTGACTTTTTTTCTCCCAATTGCGAGTTTACATCTCGCAATTCTGACTTTATTTCTCAGAATTGCGTGATATAAAGTCAGAAATGCGTGATATAAAGTCGCAATTGTGTGTTGTAGAGTCAGAATTGTGAGATATAAACTATTCTGAGGGGAAAAAAGTCTTTTTTTTTCCTTGAATTGAGCTCATTACTCGCAATTGCGAGTTTATATCTCACAATTCTGAGAAAAGATGTCAGAATTTCGAGATATAAACTCGCAATTATGTGTTATAAAGTCAGAATTGCGAGATGTAAACTCGCAATTGTGGGAAAAAAAATCAGAATTGTGAGATAAAAAGTCTCAATTCTGTCTTTTTTTTCTCGCAATTGCGACTTTATTTCTAAGAATTGCGACTTTTTTCTCAGAATTTCTCCGAAAAAGTCGCAATTATTTATTTATTTTCAGTGGCGGAAACAAGCTTCCATAGCATATTGCAAAGTTGTGCATGGAGTCGATTGTTTTATTTGTGATAATAACGCAATGAAACATGCCAAATTGTGCCGACATCATTTTTGGCCAGGCTGTCATTCAAAGAAATTATGAACGCATGCAAAAACAAAATATTTATAACTGATTATATTGTAGTCAATGTATGCTTTTTCCTGTGAGCTTCTTGTTTTTCTATGCATTTTTTTATTTGCCAAATAATTTTATCAGAAATACTTTAACCAAGTTTAGTGTTTTTTTTTCTTCCCTCATATTTAAATAATATCAAATATTTCTCATATTTTGAAGGAAATGCATCACTTTTGGCCAACACTGTACATCTAGTACCTCTCTATACAAGTACTAACCAGATACAGCTGCACATAATGACATTTTTAAACTTATGAATTGAATCTTGTGATTTTTTTTTTTATATTCCTCCTCTCTCTCTCGTTCTCTTGCAGTGTTTCATTACCAGATTAAGCTGCATCTTTTCAGCGATAAAAACATGACTTTGCTGGAGCAGCCAATGAAAGTGTCTCTGTTCGGGACGACCGATGAAAGCGATGACATCTCCGTCATTGTGTGAGTTAACTTATTTTAAAATACTTTTTGTTTTCAGTGGCTCCAAAATTATTTGGACACTTGCATGACACAATGATTCAAGGTCAAATATATAAAATATATAAATGTATATAGCACCTTAAAACAACATGAATGCTGACCAAGGTGCTGCACAACAGACATTACAAAATATCATCATACAATAAGATTTAAATAATAATAAAATATATCAGAAGAATAGATTTATTCCATCAAAACATCATCAAGCCAATAAAACAATTAAAACTAAAAGTGCAATCTAATTAAGAATAAGCCTGAGAAAAATATGTTTTAAGAGATGATTTAAATATAGTTAGAGTTGGGGACGATCTAATGGAAAAACATAAGGAATTCCACCGCTTTGGACCAAGAACTGAGAAAGCCCTGGATTTAAGTCCAAATTGTGTAATAATCAATAATAGCTGGGTGGAGGATCTGAGCTTTCTCTCCGGAGAGTAGAAATGGAGAAGATCTGAAATATAAGTGGCGGCAAGACCATGAAGCGCTTTAAATACAAACACTAAAACCTTAAAATCAACTCTGAATTGAACCAGTAACCAATGAAGGGATGCTAACACATGTGTGATATGTTCCCTTTTTTTTGTCACTATTTGTTTTTTTACAAAATATAAAAGCAATTTTAAACAGGGTCACTGAAATATGAACATATGTCCTGTAATTTGCACCCAGGCCCAGCCTGACCAGCAACAGCACCATCTCCTTCCTGGTGACGTCCGATAAAGACATCGGAGAGCTCCTGATGCTGAACATCCACTGGGAGAAGGACTCGTATCTCTACGGCTTCTTCAGCACCAATCAGTTCACCATTCGCAGAATGAGGATTAAATCTGGAGAAACACAGTCCAAGTGAGTCATTTCAGCTTCATAGAGCCACTATATATTGTCACGTTCGGTTTTGAGTTTTGTCAGTTATGGTCATGTTTCCTGGTTTGTCATGTGATTTCTAAACAACGAATTCCACTGTAGTCGAGCGAGTTAAGAACCCATGTGCAGTTTATTAAATCCAACATGAACGAATACAAAACAAAGACTTGACTCAAACATGAGCAGGCTTAACAAACCATATTTTACATAAATCAATACACGACAAGAGACAATGGAAACATGAGGCCTATATATATATATATATATATACTGAGACTAATGACTAACAAGGGACACCTGTGCACAATCAAACAATGAACCAATGAGAACACAGGAAACATCACTAGACCAACCAATGAGAACACACACACACACACATCCTAAATCAGCATGTTATAATGATTTCTGAAGGATCATGTGACTGAAGACTGGAGTAATGATGCTGAAAATTCAGCTTTGATCACAGCAATATTTACATTTTGACATATATTCACATAGAAAATGGCTTTTTTAAATTGTAATCTCACAATATTACTGTTTTTACTGTATTTAATCAAATAAATGCAGCATTGGTGAGCAAACGTGATTTTAATAAGAGACAAACATTTAAAAAAATCTTACCAACCACTTTTGAATTGCATTGTAAATACAGTAGCCAAAAGTGATGTCTGGAGGGAATATTTGTTTTTAATAACATAAGTTTGATTAAACCATTAAATTAGATTTTTTTTTTTTTTTTTTTTTTATATGAGGGAAGAACAAACCACTAAACTTTTTTTTTTTTTTTAGGTATTTATCTGAGAAAATTACTTGGCAAAAAAAGCTACAATTTTTATTTTACTTGCTACAGAAAAGCAAAAAAGCTCAGGAAAAAGCATGCATTTACTACAACATAATCAGATATTAATATTTTGTTGATTCTCTTGTTTTTGCGTGCGTTTATAATTATGTGTTCATAAAGCCTGGCGAAAAATTATGTCAGCACAATTTGGCATGTTTTATTGTGTTTAATATCACAAATAAAACAATCGACTCCAAGCACAACTACGCAATATATGATTAGAAAATATTTAACAGATTTTTAATAATATTTGGATAAAGGTTGACGATGTAATCTCATAACTGCAAAACATACAGCAGGTTATTGTAGTGAAAGTAAGACAAAAACTGATTATTAATAAATTAAACAAAATAATTAAAGTCCCCCTGTAGTCAATTTTATCCCTTAAAGCTCATCTTTGATCTCCAAAATGACATTTAAAGGTCCCCTATTATGCCCCTTTTCACAAGATGTAAAATAAGTCTCTGATGTCCCCAGAGTGTGTATGTGAAGTTTTAGCTCAAAATACCCAACAGATAATTTTTTACAGCATGTTTAAATTGTCACTTTTTGGGGCTCAGATAAACGCGCTGTTTTAGTGTGTGCCCTTTAAATGCAAATAAGCTGCTGCTGCCGGCACAGGGGGCGGAGCTTCATGAGCTCGCGCTCAGTCTCTCAGGACAATTTCATCTCACAGAATGATGATAATAATATCAGAAACTCTCCCGGAGTCGGACAATAATGCCTACAGAGTCAGAGTGCTGTATAGAGATGGAACAGGTATAGTTTAGTAGTTTAATTACGGTTATAACGTATTTGTCATCTGCTTGTAGGCCTATGCATCCACTATTAATAGCCTAACGTTACAAGTCTGCTGTTTCGGACCAGGTCCGAATGATGATACTGATTTAATAAAGTTTATTGTACATATCACAAAAGATGAAGCGTCAGTTTTACTTCAGAAAATCACCGTAAGAGCTGAGTAAACACCGTAAGATATAAGAAGTGCGCAAGTACATAAACAAATTTCGGTAGAGTTGAGGGAAATTTTTCTTTAAAAACAAAATAATTCCACCTCGTCTTCAGCGGCTGCCTCAGATTTCGAGAGTAAATAGAGAGAGAGAGCTATGTGGATTAATACATCCAGCCCAGGGACGGATTTTGACTTGTAAAGGCCCTGGGGCCAGGTATCTCCAAATCCCTCCCAGTGCGATTATAAAATCTCGCAAGGGCTGCAATTTTTTTTCGGTTTTTAATAAATATAATGCACAGTGTTGACGCTGCCAAATCTCGCGCATCGTGTTGACACTGTTCTCCGTTTTTTGTTTAAGAGGCCTTGTGTAGGCTATGAGACAGGTATATTACAGCATTAATAAACATTTGTTTTCATTGTTAATGGGTTTTCTGAACCAAACTGGATTGCGCGGCCTTAAACCCCAGGGGCCCCCCGGGCTTCTGGTAGTCAAGGGCCCCTGGGCACTGGCCCCATAGGCCCGGTCAGTAATCCATCCATGATCCAGCCACACAACACCTACAACGCTTGGGAGACATTCTTGTCAGTGCAGCAGCTGTGAACTCGATCAGGGCGGGTCTATGTTAGAACGGCAGTGTCTGTCAACACTCGTGGGCGGGGCCTGTGCTTAGTGACGTCACTAAAACAGCGTTCTGAAAACAGGTCGTTGGGAGACACGCCTGATGATTTATGGGGATTAATAAAAAAGGAGTGGATTTTTTATCACTATTGGGAGGTTGTGTACACACACTGCCAACACACATTTATGTCCAAACAGCATGCAAAAGTGAATTTTGCATAATATGGGACCTTTAAACATTTTTTTTTCTTGGAAAAAAAGTATTAATGCCTTAAAACAGCTTGAATGTAACTCGACACCCTTGTCTCATGTAGTATGCGCGGTTCTATGAATATGCAAATGAGCCCTGCCTCCACTCACTCACTCAGAGATCCACTGGTTGACGATCACACGTTGATCTGATTGGTTACAAGGTCGTTTGTGACGTCAGAAACACCAGCGATTTCAAACCGTGTTTTTGAGACTGTCTTTGGTTCACTGCAGTTTTAAGCAGAAAATACTCAGCAATGCTGTCGACTTATGAATTTACACATGGTTTGTCTTTAAAGCATATTAAAAACACCACATAGACATAATCAACATTAAAAGCTTGATTTTCACCACAGGTGGTCTTTAAAGCAAAAAAAAATCTTTTTTCTTTTGTTTTGAAGGGTAATGTTCAGACCCAAAGATGGAGAGTTTGGTTCCCTCATTCAGGGTGGAGAGCCAGTTTTGTTTGTGAAGTCCAGCGAGACGCAGCAGAGCAGGAGAGAGGAGAGGTAAAGTCGACTTTACTTTCACTGAAAGTTAGATATCAGGCCATATATATATATATATATATATATATACTAAACCTTCTGTCTCTCTCTCTCTCTCTCTCTCTCTCTCCACTTATGGGTTTTCAGGAAGCACAGACTGAAACATCACGGAAGCTTCTTCAAACAGGGCGTCAATGAAGCAACCGCAGTTATGAGAAAAGAACCGGCGTCACTTCATAATGAATCAACAGAGGTCATCATGACAGAAACAACCACGAATATAAACACGACTTTATGAGTCAACAGATACCACTTTTCCACCAAAGCATTTTGAGAGCCGGTTCGGAGCCGGTGCCTACTTGCGAACCAGTTCTTTGTGTTTGACAGCCAAAGAACCGGTTCTCGGCCAGGAAAATTGGTTTTCATGCTTTCATGCTTGCTTCGGGCTAAGACGTATGGCGACGTACACGGTGACATAACGACGTCATTCGCTGGGCTCTCTAGTCAGTGGAAAAACAAACAGGTTCTGAGAAAGTTTGCAAGTTGAACCAACTTTGAACCAGCACCAGTTCCGAACCAGTTCTTTTTTTTTTGGTGGAAATGAGATAACCGAGAACTTAATGGAGCTATATGTAGAATACAGAAACTCTTGTTATTAGCGACACCAGTGGCCGTTAAGGTGAACTGCAGCAGCTCTTACTCACAATCGTAGTAAAGCACAAAAGACTGAATGTGATTTCAAGGCCCTGATATATTTTCTTAGAAGTAAATAGAAGTTCAGAATACCTTTGCAGCGATAAACGAACATCCAGATGCCGTTGACGCTGCTGAGAGCGATGTTTAGATGATGTAAATATGTGCTGCGCGCTTTCCTCTCAGTAACAAAATAAACACGCAACAAAAATGACAGTGGTGAGAATAAAGAAGCGGTTAAAGGATTAGTTCACTTTAGGACCCCCACCACGTCATCCAAGATGTTTGTCTTTCTTCAATCAAAAAGAAATTAAAGGGACAATGTGTAGGAATTTCTCCCATCCAGCGGTGAAATTGTATTTTGCATTCAAACGAATTGTGCTCTCCAGCGCCTCGCTTTTCAAATGTGCGTTGCATCTACGGTAGCCGTTATGTACCAAAAAGCTATGAGAGGATGTCTTCTAATAGGACTTCGTCGAGTGTTCCTTCGGGTGAACAGGTTTGTTATTTCAAACAAACTGCAACTTGACACAACGAACAAACGAATGTTACAGTATGAATTACTGACTGTGAAACTTGCCGGGGCAGTGACAAGCGCCTCTCACCGCTCTGCTCCTCCGCTCCTGCTGCTTTCAGTGACGTGACGCTGGCTCCGAACGAAAACGCGCTGTGGAAACGCATTGGCTTAGTACTTTTTGTCCCTCTCTGCTATTATAGTTTTTCAAGATGGCGGACCTACCCGTCCCATGTATATAAAGACAATAAATTCTTCGTTTACGAGGATAAGTCAGATCATTGGCAGAGGTATTTGTACACCATTGAAGACATATTCATGAATAAAAATATTGATTTTAGATAATAAAATACCTTAAAAAAGTACACATTGTCCCTTTAAGTTTTTTTGAGGAAAACATTCCAGGATGTTTCTCCATATAGTGACTTCAATGGGGTCCAACGGGTCGGAGGTCCAAATGTGAGTTTCAGTGCAGCTTCAAAGTCCCAGCCGAGGAATAAGAGTCTTATCTAGCTAAACCATCAGTCATTAAAAAATATATATATATATATATATATATGTTTTTTTTTTTTACTTTTTAACCTCAAATGCTCGTCTTGCACTAGCTTACAGTTTTTCTCAAATGCTAAAACACAAAAGCCAATCCTCTAAATCAAATGACCAGTTGTCTAAACACATTTACTAAATCTAGCCATCATTTTCCAATATCATAAACACATTTCACATGAAGACACAATTCACAAAACACAATCCTCCGTTCTCATAAATCTTAACACATTTTTCCTTGCTAAAACACAAGTTGCAAAAGAACTCTGCTCATATTCTCAAATGAAAGCTCATGTGATGCAAAATGCTTGCCACAGTCAGCAATATTTGAACACAATGAACACACCTGGCGTCATTCATTACACACAACGACTCAAAATTGAAGACACTTGTTGCTAATGCTGTGACCACATGTATAAAAGCAAGTTCAGAGTGCACAGTTTGCTGAAGATTACAAACAAACACAATGGATGAAGGCAGAGTCAGGGGAAGAGGAATTCGAGTCAGAGGAGGGAGAAGAGCTGGCCATGGAAGAAGAGGAGCAGGCCAACGAGGAAGAGGAGAAGGTCCAGGAGGGAGAGCAAGACAACCTCGCACCATCATTACGGACGAGATGCGAGCAACAGTCATTGACCATGTCATTGTCCATGGCATGACAATGGCTGAAGCAGGACTAAGAGTCCGTCCAAACCTGAGTAGGTTCACCGTGGCCACCATTATCAGGGCATTCAGACAACACAACAGGTATTGTCAACACATGTTTCTTTCTTTAGAGTTGAAAGAATGCCACATAGAGGTGGGAGGGTTGCCATATTTACAGTGGCACAAGAAACCCTCATTGTGGATATGGTTCGTGAGAACAACCTCATTAGACTCCGGGAGATCAGAGACAAAGTCATTGCCGATAATGTCAACTTTGAGAGCATTGATGATGTCAGCTTGGCCACAATAGACCGAGTTCTCCGGCGCCAAAAGATGCGGATGAAACAGGTCTATAGGGTTCCCTTTGAGCGCAACTCTGCGCGACACAAAGACCTACGTTACAAGTATGTGCAAGTAAGTATACATCCATGTTCACAGTACAGTTAGTGGACATACTGTGTTGCTCAGTGGCCTACAGTACTTCTGGACAATACTGTGCTACCTGATTGACTGTTGTTCTGAACACCTGTGCACTTTCACATTTTCACAGAGGATATTACAGTTGGACGCGATGGCTAGACCTCATGAGTACCTCTTCCTGGATTAGGCTGGCTTCAACCTGCAGAAACGAAGGCAAAGAGGCCGTAACATCATTGGCCAAAGAGCCATCACTGAGGTTCCTGGCCAACGGGGGGGGTAATATTACTCTTTGTGCGGCCATGGGTTTGGAGGGGCTTGTCCACCGGCATGCTGTCCTTGGGTCTTACAACACCCAACGTCTCCTCACCTTCCTAGAGGAGCATTTATGTGATCATTTGGGACAATGTACGCTTTCACAGAACAAACCAAATCAGAGAGTGGTTCACCACCAACAGTAACCACTTTTTAAACGTCTGTCTGCCACCCTACTCCCCTTTCCTGAACCCTATAGAGGAGTTCTTCTCATCGTGGAGATGGAAGGTTTATGACAGACAACCATACACTAGAGAGAACCTCCTAAGGGCAATGGAGCTGGCCTGTGTTGACATCCCAGTGGAGGCCTTCGAAGGATGGATTCGCCATTCCAGGGCGTTTTTCCCACGGTGCCTGGCAAGAGACAATATAGCCTGTGATGTGGCCCGATGCCGCACAGTGATTGTGGTGTGTGTGTGGTGTGAATAAAGTAAATAAAAAACTTCACACCCTGATCATGTTTTCAAGAGTACTGTTGTGTGCAATAGATTCTGTTTTTGCATTGAGTTGTGTTACAGTAGTGTACATGCAGAATTTATACTCTTCATATGAAACTCACAAATCTAAATGCCTAATCCTCTGCAGAGATCTAAGAAGATCCATTACTGTAAAGTTTCTAAAAATATGCATTGGCAGTTATGAAACAAAGAACCTTCTCACAAATTGAGCATTGTGTTTTCAATTGTTTTGCTGTAGTGTGTAATGATGTGTATAGTGTTTACATTTTTGAAAGCTTCGAGCTGCTCTTTTGGTGTGAAAGTTTGAGTTTTGAAGTGAGAAGGTGTGGTTGTGTTTATGTAGCTTTAGAAAAGGGTGTTGTGTTTAGACATTGGGGAACATGGAGGAAACGTTTGTGAAATGTGTTTTAGCATTTGAGAAAAACTGTAATAACGTTGGTATAGTAGGCTACCTAGTTGGTACTGTACAATGAAAGTACAGACCTAGTGTTTACAAAGCAAACGTGCAAAGACTAAGTCAAATGCCATTTACAAAAACAAAGTAAAACAACGATGTCAGGCTTTTTTTTTTTTTTAAGTTAGAGAAAATTAGATGTGAGTTTTTCGCCCACTTCTGCGTGACCTTTTCAACAATGTGTGGCGCATCACAGCTAGTGCAAGACCAGCATTTGTGGTTATAACTTTTTTTTTTTTTAATGACAGTAGTTTCATTCTAGACCCCCTTATTCCTCGTCTGGGACCTTCAACTCGTTGGACCCCATTGAAGTCACTATATGGAGAAAAGTCCTGGAATGTTTTCCTCAAAAACCTTGAACATCTTGGATGACGTGAGGGAGAGTAAATTATCCGGAAATTTTAATTCTGAAGTGAACTACTCCTTTAAGAAAGCATCATATTGTAGCGATGTGGATATGTTTGCACCATTTGTTATTTCATGTGTCATTGAAGTTAAGAGAACATAACCGTCACATCCTTTTGATTTTTCCTGGCAAAACGTCCCGAGTCCTTCACATAAACATCAGTCTACAGGCTTTCAGAGACAAACTAGGAGGTCTTGTTTTTTATGTTTCATTACAAGCTGTTCACACATTGGCAATAAAAAGTGATTAATACATTAAAATTCTTACATATAGCCCCTTTATGATTTTATTTATGCTATTTGCACCAGATTTATCTGAAAGTTTTAATTTGAGAATGTAGGCTTAAAATCACATTTCATCCCAAAATCAAAAGAGAAAAAAAAAAATTATAAAAAAAATTGTATATAAAATTCCAAATGCTCATGGGTGTAATGCATTCATTTAGCAGAAATGTAACTTTACCCTCATTGATGATTCACATTACTGTGTTTTAAAAAAGAATGAGAATTAAGCATAAACAAATCCCAATGTTTCTAAAAAATAGGTTTCAGTGCAAAGACAATTTCTTATTTCTTTCTTTTGATTTGGGGGAAAAATATGATCATGTTCTTGACCGGTTTTGTGAGATTCACCCAAACATAGATGTTTAATTTTCAGCTTGTAGACATATTGTGTGTTAAAAACAAATATGTATCTTTAGAGGGCAGGTTAGATGTTGTAAACATAAAACATAAATAAGTCCAGATAAAAATGAACTGAAGTGAAGTTCAAATACAAGGGTTGTAAATATGTTGACCTGTAACTATTGAGAGCAGTTTATTCACATTCAGCAACTATATAGTTTAACAATATTAAATGTGATAT